GAGCAAGAAGACGCTTTTATGATAGTTTGGAGCAATAGACGGCCCACTCGTTACGCTATTCGCATTGTGTAACGACTGTTTGTTTTTTGCTGTTGTAAAACATTCTATATGTCGTATTAACGCGATTGCTTTCCTGACATCAAGCCAGCCTAAGGCAAGTTTGACATCAAGTCACAAGCACCGGTGTAGCTCAGTGGTAGAATACTGGGCTGGCAAGTGGCGAAACCGGGCTCGAGCCCCACTGTGCCATTAGTGCTTGGCCATGCCAGCCTAAGGCAAGTTTGACAACTTACAAGCACCGGCGTAACTCAGTGGTAAAATATTGGACTGGAACCCAGCGGACCGGGGTTCAAGCCCCACTGTGTGATTTGTGCAAGGTTTTTTTTGTGTGTGTGTGCGATGTGGTTACATACACAAGCGGCGGCGGCGGACAACAACGACTGCGCGTGACCCAAAAAGTGATCTCATAACCGATTTCGCTGTAAAAAACAAACGAAATGAAATGGGCCTTTTGCCGCTACTAATGCACAATGCTCTCCTCATATCTCACGCGTATGTAGTTTTACCAACTCCTCACTTTCGTCGCGCAGAAGCACACACAGTTGTTGGCAGCAATGCACGCTCACGTATCTCTCGCACGAAAGCGTCGGCATTCTAGTCACGTCTCCCCGTGTGCATATCTCGCACATACGCTCATCGACTGAAGCTGTTCGGGTTCACTGCCGCGGGCCAACTAATTACCGTTACACACCACAGCGCCTATTAGGCGGGTACAGGGTTGCTGTGTGGAAACAGTCGTGATCGTTTGAGTGGGTAATTATGATCAACGACATAGATTCAGTGCTATGAACGGGCAACACGTGGAGACATCAAGTTTATGTTCTTTCTTTTCTTTTTCAGTGAAAAGCAGGCGCGATTGTCTTTATGTCAATACAAGAAAGGACCCGTGATTACAACACGGGTGGTCTCACATCAAGACGTACTGTAAATGCGCGAGGTCGTTTTTTTTTTTGAGCTTTACACAGAGATGATATGTTTGATTCGTATTAAAGGAAACTTGCCTAAGCTTTTTGTTTGCGGCGTAGAGACATCGAGGTTATTTTCGTCTCTTGTGTGCAGATGCGTTGGTGCTTTGCACGTAGCTTCAGTATATGAGTGAACAGGCAGCAGTTCAGTAGTACGCGTGCTAGATTCTAAGTAATCTCGTTTTCATTGCTTTATTTTTGGAGAGCGTGAGTGCGGATATATTAGATTCCTATAATACTCCAACTTAGCCGGTTCTATCGCGTGATTGGATCTCGGGATAAGACAAGTGGTCCGTTGTCTCTGTCGTTGAGGCTAAGTGTCCTATTAGGATTAATAGGTCCTTCTATCTCGTGTAGAACAACGAATCGAACAAAATCGTTGCTTTGTAGGAGCGAAAGAGCAGGAGGAAGGAGTCAAGGTGGTCGTGGAGGCATTATGCTCGCCAATTATGCGTAGCCTTAGTCACCTCGGTTAGACGGCAATTAACGTTGACCTTATAGTGCGAACGAAAAAAAAAAGTAAAGCGCGTTAGCGTGGAAGACTGACAGAACCAGACTTCAGTGGCCGTGACTGCATAAACTAATTCTCGTATTAGAAGAAGGAGTAGAGCCCTTTTTAGATATTTTTGCCGTTTGAGCGCCATTTTTTTTTACCATGTGACATAGTGCAGTCGCAGTCATTTGCGAATGTGCCGCATTCCTTCTCAAGAATGCGTCATTGAGAGAAGACAAATAGGGTATCTAGTTTAGTAACTAGGCCAGGTGACTTTCAGCTGTAGTTTAGTAACTAGGCCAGGCGACTTTCAGCTGGCACGGTGCAGGTCTAAAAACTTGGAAGACGCTTAAGCCTCGCCTTAACAGTACAACGATATCAAACCATGACCGCATCGCCTTCTCATTCGCGTGCCACGCTTCGATTCTCGCTTAATATGCTTAACCGTGCTGTGAGGCAACGAAATTCTGTGCGCGATACATTGGCGGATATAAATACTCCAAGGGCGCCTACTGTTGTTGAGTACGCACTACGTGTGTCTGTCTGTGAGGTGGTACGCGTAACTACTATAGTTGCAAAGATTGTTGATGATGTGGCCTATGGTGATGACCGTGAAGTAGTATATAGCTAAGCCATTGGTTATATGGGTTGTACGCTTTCAACCAACCGCTCGCTACGCAGTCCACGCGTCTTGACACCTGGTGCTATCCTACGCTTCTGCAGCGCAATGTTACACCCGTTAACGTTATTCCTCACCCCGCATAATGAATTCATAGATTCCGCTTTGTGGTCGAGTACTTAACAGCCACACTAAGTACACGGGTTTCATTGGGGCCCTAAGCCTGATTAATATTTATCATTTTCGGCTAGCGAACAACGCCGATTTTTCGCTCTCAACCAATACCGTGAACAGCGACGCCAATACTGATACTAGTTTCTTTTTTGTGTGTGACATTGGCTCTTGAAGGCTCTTACGTTAATAATTCTGTATCGTCCGTGCGGAAATTGTCCAAACGTGGGGTTGACTATCCTGCAGTGTCTTAACGAAATTAAGTTGCGAGATGCGCTGTGATACGTTTAGGAGCGTTGCTCTAAGGCACCCGTCCCTCGTATGAACTACATACGAGGGACGGGTGCCTCGAGTGAATGAATGAAACCGAGTGAACGAACGCAGCGAAAAAAACTCCTGGTTCGTGAGTCTAGAGCCACGCCATAGAGTCTCCTATAATTTCACGAAACTCTATCAGCCACACGACGCTATTCTGCTTTTGCCGAGGCCAGCTGGATTACACTGGAACTTTCGTATCGTTAACAGCGTAAAAGCGAAAAAATATCAAAAGCGAGCCATGTGGCGTCAGACCTCGCTTTCTTAATTTTACACAAACCTAACATAAACTTGTGCTCTAATAACGATCACCACTCAGGTGCTGTTACAAAGAGCAGTGATGCGAGATGGTATCGAACTTGTCTGCGCGTACGTAACAAGCACACAAATGCCTTTAAAGCATGCTTGACCACTAAATGTGGTTGTGTGCAAAGAAGCCAGCTTTTCATGTTCGTCTCTGTCTTTAAAAAAACAATAATGAGCACGTAAAAATTAAAAAAAAAATGCTTCCATAATTTCCTTAAAATCGCTCAAACTTCCCAACTACTTTATTTAGATTGAATAAAGACAGTGTTATTTTTTTCAGTTTCGTTTTTTTTTTCTTTAATATACGATGTCACCTTATAAAAATATCGTCGAAGTGTCAGTATTCCTGGGGAATTAAAGTCTGTCAACAAATTAGAAGAGTTTAGCGCTGTACATAAGCTCATTTATGAACATATGTGACCGCCTTGTGTACATTTCTCATTCGATTGGACCGTCTAAAACATTTCCCTAGATAAATAGGGTCTCTGCTCGAGACGATTCGAATCCGGTATCGTATCCATCATATCCGCTTATGCAAAGTGGGAGTAAGGGACCTCAGAGTAGAGAGAAAAATGCTGGGTTTAATTGCTGGCAGCACAGGCTGCGGCAGTTTGGTGAAGATGGTGTGCAAGAACACTCGTGCGTAAATGCATAAATGTTTACTCGCTAAAAAACATCGCTAGGTGAAAGTTAATCCAGAGCCCTTTATCGCGGCATCGCTCGTAGCCTACATAACAGCGGATCTACTCCTCAGAGCTTGGAGAAAAGTTATTCCGAGTAAATACAGAATGCAACAGAAAAGCAGTCGCTAGGCTTCAAAAACAAACGCGGGCGTGCAACAGGTGCGAAGTTCTGACACATGACCGAGCTTTCCATTAGATTCTGAGGGTACTGAGAGCTGAAATTTCGTAAAGTTTTCTCGTTTTTAATGACGTATTGCGTGCCCGTAGTAGGCATCACAGCCACACACTCCTATATACGAACTCAAGAACCATGACCGTAATAGGTTTTCTTGAATACAGCGACCCAATTAGCTGGCTTTTAATTTGACATTTTTATCAACTATGGTTACATTGTTCATTTTCGGGGAGATTGCTGCAGAACAATACACAATCATACATAAACATAATACATAAGACGTGAATAAAGTACTCATAATGCACACACACACTCGAAGACCTGCGTGTGTGTGTTTGTATGTGCACTTACATATACGTTCACGCAAACGGCTTAAGTTCCCTGGGAGGTGGGGACGCTGAGTGCCCCCTCTTCAGTTTCCTGCTAGCTGCGCCTATGCGGCGGCGTACAGTTTATGTGGCATAGTGACTTGGCGCAATGTAGTAGACAGGTACACGCAAGCTTTGTTGATATCGCTTGCTACTACTGTTGCTGCTGTTTCTTAATGATAACACACGGATGGGCTCGTAAGCTGTGTTAGAGCCGAGTATACGCAGTTTTGAATACGAACTTTGAGAAACACTTTAAGTGTGCGAAAACGAGTACACGAATACGTGCACATAAGCGCGCGAAACGAATACCACAAACAGGCCTGCTAAGTCTACAAAGATACACAAGTAAGCACACGCATCATGGTGCCGACAAAGAAACAAACAAACAATAACCAACAAGGTGGTCCTGCCTGCCTGCTTCGCGTTTTTTTTTTCCCTCTGTCCGACACTTTGTGGCAAGTTACCACGCATGTATATCCGTGTTGTGGGAGCACTGAACGCGAGAGTGCACTGCGTATATACAAACACTGCAGTCAAAGCAACATTCATGAATCGTCGCGGAGAGCCGGTGGGCGCGCGTTTGTTGGCGTCGTCGGCGACGGCAAGGTCCCCCGAGCGTGTGTCACCTCCTTGTAGCGAGCACAACACAATGGGCGCTGCCGGCGGTGTGATTCGGCCAAGCGTAGCTTTCAGAAGCGCGTTATGGCAGGATGCGCGGACGGTTCCGCTCGCCTCTTTGCCCGGACACTGTTGTCGCGCGACGCAGTGTTTTTGATGTGCTCGGTGCCGCGGCTGCTCTGTCTCGGACTCGACGCCTCATTTCGCCATGTCGTACTTTTCAGAGGAATGGACCACGTCCAAGAAAGTCGTCAACCACAAGACCCGCCAGGTGAGAGGAAGGAGATGAGTAACATTACCTGTAACTCCTGCTACAGAAGTATAGAGTCGTTACCCAGTATGAGTTGCGAGGTGTTGTATGTGCTCAATGGGGCTCTAATACTGCAAAGCTGCGCCGACATAGCAAACTATGACGGAAGTAGAACGCTGCTTCAGTGAGTGCTATTTGTAAAAGTAATGAAGTTCTTGCCAAGGTAACCATTCAGGCTTGAAGCCCTTCTAATCGGGCTCACCGTTATGCAACTTATTTTAGAGCTACTCTAAATAACAATACTATTTCGTTAACTTGTTTCAGTTTTGTATAGGTTTTTTTTTTCTTCACTTGTACATTTTCATTTTGAGTAACCGCTTTTATTTCGCAGCAGCACTTGTAGAAATGGAGTAGCCAAGGTGACAACACCTCTAATCTCCAGAGCAAGCCAGTTAAAACAGAAGAGAGAACAATACAGTGCCAGTACTGAATAACCATGACCATTGTAAGCAGACGACGAGCTAATTCTTTTTTGTATTTACTTGCAGCTCTGTAGAAATTTTACTTACATTTCATGAAGGCTTTTGGGGTTAGTGTAAAACAATAGTGCACTCATGCGTGGCTCCAGGCGTTTTCGCCTTCTTGTCACCAAATTCAGTAGTGATGAACGTTTTAATCAGGTCGCCGACTTCTGGTAAACGCGATTGTCATGTTAAATAAATGTGGTTTCGTTGGGGAAACTCGAGAAAAAAAAATGAATGGCCACCTGAAATCGAGTTACAACTCAAATGGTCTGCTTCTTGGACATACGTGTATCTTATTTTGTTCGTTGTTGTTTCTACTAACCGGTTAAAAGCACTAACAATGCATAACAAAATGTACATTTTTGTTAATTATTGTTTTAACGCTAGTTAATTAGGCATTCTGGTTTTTAATTCGAAGTGAAGCCTTTTCTTTGTTTGTTCCTTTTGATTTCTCTGAGTAGACTCACTACAATGACAAATCTACATTTTTGTCTATTTTTTCTAGTCGTGAGCTCTTATATTCTACGCCTGTAACTTAATTCCTTGTATTGTCGTAAAAGTATCTCGTATATACGTTTTCAAACGAACTTCGTACTCGTCGATAGCTATGGGGCCAAGCAGTTATTGCATAAATTGTAAGTGAAATGTATGTAGAGAAAAATAATTGTGAATTAGTAAAAAAGCCATCGCATAACGTGCAATGAAACAAAGCAATAATAGTTTGACTATAAAATATTGAGAAACAGCAAATATGGTCACAGAACCAGCAAAGGTAACTGGTAATCTAGGATACATAGGGACTTCATTTTGGGTTTGTTGGTGCTTATCTTGCTTAGGCGCACATGATGTGGTGCGAAATACATTTTGTGAAAAGGGGAGGAGCAAAAGAGAAGAAAGTGAAAGAGATGGCAGCTTGTTCACGCATGCGCTGAAAATATTTCTTTTTAATTTTTTCTAAACTTTTCTCAGAGTGTCATTAAACAGTGGCTAGTCGGTGCGTCACTCTTGATAGATTGATATGTGAGGTTTAACGTCCCAAAACCACCATATGATTATGAGAGACGCCGTAGTGGAGGGCTTCGGGAATTTCGGCCACCTGGGGTTCTCTAAGGTGCGTCACTCTTTTCTCTTGTGTTTCTACATTTTCACGAAATGTATATTGCGCCCAATCGAGCGTACTTAAGCAAAGTAATCTACTTGACAATAAGCGAAAGAAATACACCTCGGTAGACCACGCCATGTCTAACACAGAACACTGGTGGTCATTTAAAGCATTGCGAATGGTTACCGAGAGATATGAAACGCAGCCTGGGTAGGCGGTGAGTTAGATGAAGCGATAAAATCAAGGCTTCTCGTAGGTGAGAAGTCGAATTAACTTACTGGAGGACGTGGGAATCACTTATATGTGTATTCGTTCTGGTGTGCCCATGAAATAGGTTGATAATGATGACGAGTGAAATTGCGCAGTGTTTGTACATTTCAAACCTTGTTATTTAGATGTCATGAATATATCGTAATAATAGTGTTATCTAAGTTTTACGTCCGAAAACCGAGATATCATTATGGGACCCGCAGCATTGGATAATCAGGTGTTCTTTAACGTGCTCTTATATCTTAAAGTACACGGACCTCTACTATTTCACCTCCATCGTACTTCGCGTCAACAGCGGAGCACCATAACTACGGGTTGACCGCTGCTGACATCATGCATACGTGTACCATATATCTTTGTAGGCTGTAAGCATTTTTAGCGGGGGAAGTTTCTTAGCCTTCACGCTCATGGTTGCTTTTTATTGTTTTTTTTTACTGAGCGTTGTAACGCGGGTGTCCGTGGGTAGCTAACGCTTTGTCGGGCATTTTATTTAGTGTTTTCGACAGCGTCCTTGAGTATTCGTGTGTATTATTCGAAAAAAAACTTTAACGCTGCGATCGAAGACAGGAAAACAAAAGAAACCGGTTTGAATGGCATAAACAGAAGCAGAAGTTAGCAAACTGTACACCGCGCGCTAATACCTAATACCACAGAGAAAATCGTCTCACATAGCATTTTTTTATTTACAAGACGTAAAAGAAATCTCGACAAACTTTGCACCAATCTGATAATCAATACACATGAACGAAATCAGTGAATCAAGTGTAATATCGCTGTTTATGTCTCAGACATAAGGTGTTGCCTACTTCGTGGGGCGTTTCTCTCTCTTTGATTTACCAACTTCTGACAGTTCGTGCGATCAGAAGCTTACAAAGTCAAACTCTTGCTTTAACATTCGGTGTAGTTTGCAACTGGGTTTGACACATGGCGTTTTTGGGTGGTTTGGAAGGTTCAACGTTTCAAAGTGACTCAGGCTATGAGAAGCGCCGTGGTGTAAGGCTACGGATAGCTTCGGCAACCTTCATTAACGTGCTTCGACATCGCACGGTGCTCGGGCCTGTAGCATTTCAACTCCATCGAAATACGATCGCCGCATCCGGAATCGAACCCGCGTCCTTCGGTTCAGTATATAGCCGAGTGCATGCAGTAACCACTGAAGCACCACAGTGCCCATGAATAGCATGCAAGGCGATTTCTTGCAATATCTGCTTTCACGGTGCGATATATAGTTTCCACAAAGCCGCGTATGGCGTAGGCGTTCCGCTCTTGAGCGGGCTGAAAACATAATGGAATGCATATATGCAAGAACATGCACGCATACGGGGATAAGTACTCCCAACAGCTTAGGTTTGCGGACTGCCAAATGTTTGAGAAAGCTATAGTCTCGCTTTGTAAGGGAACGTAAACTCACAATAGATGTTCCAGCCAACAGTTTGCATGGTAACTCAGAGAGTCGTCAGCTACATTATAATAATTATGTACTAAGAGAGTATAAGTTGACTTTGCTTTTGGAGCGAACGTCCCGCAAACTTTCACCGTTAGGTGTACACAAGGAAATCATAAGTGCCCACGTATTACCCGCATTCGTCAACCACTGTTTGACGACCTTACTACTGGAAGCAGGTCATTTGGAAGACCACCAGCACATGTACGTACATACATCAACCACCCGAGGACACTGAACGGCGTACAAAACTCTTTTTCCTGAAGAAAGTATGATTCCTCCGACAGAAAGCACAGTAGCTTTGAGTACAGCGGCACCGCAAGCTGAAACAGAGCACGGCGATGACGACTCTGTATCGCGGTGACGACGATTCCCGAGTAAGCTCTGCTCGAATTCCGAAGAAATTCCTCAATTCAGAAGAAACGATGTCTATGATGAATAGTGTTCAGAACGAATGCGTTACGATTCGGGGCACTGTTCTTACGCTACTGCGACAGTACGCTGTGTTTATATCCTCTCAAATCTGCGTCGACGCACACAAGGAAGTTTATTGCATACTGGTGACAACAGTTCAGGCGAGTACAATTGCAGCGGTCAACAAAGGCTTGCTCTAACTTCACGTTACAGACATGTATTATCAAACATACGACACTCAGACGCTATGGCAAGTGATGGATGATAGACAAAACAGACTAAGTTTGAACAGATAAACACATATCAGTTGTGAAGTGCTGTTATTTGTGTTCAAATATGCATCGGTGCTGTTCAGCAGAAGCACGGCGACAACCACAACAAGCTGCAAACCCAGCTTTACGGAAAATCAGATTGTTCATGGTTCGGTACTCAACCGAACAGATAGAAACGATGCTTTCCGCAGAAGATGCCACACTCAACTTTTCATTGTGCGAAAGGGAATATTGAATTTATTGTGCTGCCTGAAATTCTAAAAGAATCTAGAACACGTGAAGCCAGCTTTAGCTGTACGCACACACGTTTAGAAAAAAAATATTAACCATTTACGGTAGTACATGCGTACCACTGTGTCACAACAGTAGACTGAGCCTGGACGGTCCAGAAAAAAAAGTTTACAGAATGTACAGAGCATAAATTATGCGTAACAAATCAATGTTGACGGATACATTCACGTCTTTACAATCTGTCTGCAGTGCCAGAACGCAAAGCTTATAGCGGCATGAAAACAGCAACACCGAGACGGTGTCCATGAAAAAGCAACGCGACGGGTGCGTCTCCCTCCCTACACTTACAGTGTACTACTACACTGTACTACACGAGTAGGCGGATTGTGGCTAAGGTTCACGAGAGAGAGAGAGGTTTAGGAAAAGAAAAAGCTCATTTTAGCACGGCTCAGCGCCGCAGAGCTGCACGCTGTGCTCGTGCGCGCGTCTTTTTTCCGCGAGACCTTTACAACTTGGGACGGGGCAGGGGGAGGATCGCTGCTCCCTCTGGTCAGTGTGCCGGGCCGGCATGTGGTTGTTTCGCAATATCTGTTCTTTTCCGTCGAGAATGTGTTCAGAATAAATTGTGAACGCTTTAGGGCACTACACGCACTCTGCCGATATACAAGTAACACATTGAGAAACGGTTGTTAACAATTAAGAGTATATGAGGTACTCTACCACGAGAGAGCATAAAGCCGTCCCGCAGTCCTCGCGCTTGACGAGGCTGCGTTGGAAAGTAACATGTGTCCCTGGAAAGTAACAGTGTCCCTTTAACACATCGACGGAAGCAGAACAAGGGCAGACGACGCTCGCTTTCCACAAGGGGTTTGATGACGTATACATAGACATATCCAATCAAATTGATCGCCGATGCTACGCAGCATGGAACAACGCTGCGCCCAAAGGACGCGATAACTTGAAAACCCGTTCACCTGAGACGCTCTACAGTTAAAATATTTTCACATCTTTAAGGTATTGTAAAATAAATTACGCAGTTCATGCCGATAACTACTTAGGACTTGCTTTATTGGTTCAAACGATTTCGTTTAAGGTCGGCGAAACTGTTTCGTTTCAGGCTCCATTTGAGTTCCTTTTTCAACTCCATCAGCGTTTTACTGTTCTCGCTTTCTTCAGCTACTCTAAAAACTAAGAGAGTTCTGGGCATTTTTTTTTGGGGGGGGGGGGAAGTACTTTCTTGCCCCATATTTCACTCTCCTTTCCGGAGTTAATCACCTCTTGTTGAGGCACAGTAGAGTGATTCCCCCGAACGGGCCACAGCACTCCCCCTCAACAGAGTAACATAACGCTGCCCGAAGCAAAGTAGCATGACCCCACCAAAGAGAGTAACAGTACACCTCTAAAAAAAATAGCAGAACTTGAGCCGAAATTGCGCTTTCAATTGTTTTGGACGGATATCCGCCCGCACGGATTGTAAACATAAATACACAACCAAGTGTAACTCGTACCATCGACCTGTAGACGCGCTACAGTTTGCTAGCTCACCACGCTATCTATTACACCGCACTAACAGGTGGCTAATGAGTCTTTATTTCTTTATGTCTCAACCAATGCTGGTGACATGTCTGCATTTTCTTGTTTAGACGCATAGATTTGAGTGTCTCCACGCTTATCGATACCAGTCGGACTGTAGCTAACGTGTTTACTGTGTTTGTTTGGTGCTTCGTGAGATTAATAAGTCTATTCATCACGTTTTTTTACAGTAGAAAAAAGAATATTAGCCCAACCAATTATATGAACGTCATTTGCACTTGCTCGCTAAGTGGTTAGTCATTTCTGCGTACGAAGCATCGCGCTTCCGAAGTGGACAATAAACAATTTAGTTGTTTTTTTCGCCCCCTTGGACATATCTTCAGTCATTGCTGTTCACCTGCTACGACGAAAGCCATAACAATTCACTGTAGCCGTACCATATATACGTCAGGCTTACGGCAACATCACCCGTGTTCAATGTTCGTAGCGAGAAATATGAATATTAAAATAAGGATAATGTTATAGCCGTTTGCGTTGAGTTTCGATCGTGACTGATTGAATGAGATGGTATTCGCTTATTTCACTACACAGATACAAAGCTAAAAACGGGAATATTAAGAGTTGCAAGCGCCTTCTGCAGTGCGCTGAAATTCATGGGCGCGTGCTGGAAATGCTGTTTTTTTTTATTTTTTCTTGTTGTTAATCGTCTCTAACGCCTCAGCGAACAAATGCAGTACGTTATACTGCATATATGTGTGGTTATTAGGTAGTACCAATCACTCGCGGTGTGCCGACGACGCATCTAAACGTAATCAAGCGCAGGAGTATAATCGCGTTATACTCTCTCATGCCTGAAGAGTATATGGGCATTTCACTCTCTCAAAGAGCGGAAGAGTAGAAAGCTGTTTCACTCTTCCGTTTCGCACACAACGAAAATGAATTACACTATATCTGATTTTTCCCGAGAGTAAAAGAACGCTTTGAAGAGTAACTTGGCCTTTTAACTCCTGCCATACCCTCCGCAGTTTTTAGAGTGTAGAGGACGCAAAGTCATCCAAAATAGGTTGAAAAAGATTATTGTATAATCATATCCTAACGTCGCACGTGATAGAACCTCAAGTTTATTACAAGGTACGTCGTTAAGTGCTAATATTTTAATTACTTTTTTACCTAATTGCCTCAAGAAGCATGACCATTCGGCAAAACGCTCTTGTTCAAACTGACGGTTCTGTGCTCCTTTAGTAAAAACGCACCCTTAGCAATTTATGTGAAGCTCTCAAATACACGGTGTTCAAGAACCTTGCAAGAGTCATATCGTGTCCTGGGCACTCTCATTCATGAAATTCACGAAAGTGACACCCTATTCCTTTGCAGTATTTATTTTTTTCTTTCGCTTTATCCTTTTTAATTTTCTATGTGTTCATGTCGTGTTGCCGATCCTTTCCTTCTTACTTTTATTCTTCGTATTTGCACCTTTTGTTTTCATTCCCTTCTTTCCCAGAGTGTATGCGGGCAGGCGTTGCACCCCGTTGGATAGTTGTCCGGCTTCGTCAGTCTTATATCTTTCGTGCTTTGTGTACTTGGTAGGGCGTCCACGTTTTCATACGGAAAATTTAAACGATAAAAAGAACTGTTGACGTTGCACACACGCATGGTACACGACCGTTTTCTGCATACTGGCCTTGATTTACCATGGAAGTCTGAATCGATTTGTGGGGTTTAACGTCCCAAAACCACGATATGATTATGAGAGACGCCGTAGTGGAGGGCTCCGGAAGTTTCGACCACCTGGGGTTCTTTAACGTGCACCCAAATCTGAGCACACGGGCCTACAACACTTCCGCCTCCATCGGAAATGCAGCCGCCACAGCCGGGATTCGAACCCGCGACCTGCGGGTCAGCAGCCGAGTACCACCTTAGCCACTAAACCACCACGGCGGGGCGGAAGTCTGAATCGAAACCGGCGACTTCGTACTAAGCAGAGAAACCTCGCAGCTGAATTTGTAGTCTGCCTATAGTGCAGCAACAAATTTTTTTCGTTGCTGAGGAGTAGCCATCTGGTGCTTTACAAACTCACCAAGCCTGCTCAATACAACAGCAATAATAATAATAATAATAATAATAATAATAATAATAATAATAATAATAATAATAATAATAATAATAATAAAGCTATCCTCTTCGGAAGAGCGGATAGATTGTAATTTGTTTTTGTTTTGTTTTTTATTCACACCCTTTGTGTCGCTGGACTGCGCAGACCGAGACGAGGGTACAGCGGCAGCTCGTCCTGGAAGACGGCAAGGTGATCGCCGACACGGGTCCCCAGATCACCACCAGAACCACCGAAGACAACAAGGTCGAGGAGTCGGAGGACACCCAGGTGACATATGTCTCTACTTTCACATTTATTTGATTTGTCTGTTTAATATGACAGCAGAGCTAGACCTGAAGTGTTGACCCGAGTGTGCGAGTGATTCTGTCGATGCCTGTCTTTTCTTTCGTCTCTCTTTGCGCCTCCCGACATCAGAAAGCGTAAGCAGATGTGTAGCCCTGCACATTGCTACATAAATCAACTTCAGCGGATGGTGCTTAATTACAATTTACATTATAACCTGAGGTGATGGCTGTATCAGCGGAGTAGATATGTAATGGTTTATGTAATGGCTATATAATTTGCTAGTCCGCGTGGCAGCGGCTATTGACGTTCCACTAGCATTACGCCTGAATCTCTTTCCTAAGCAGTATCGAGAGCTGGCGTGGCTATGCGGAAGTATATATACCTGATTGCCACGCAGAGTGCCTGGTTTCGATTCCTGCTGGGGCACTGATATTTATATAGTATATACCTGATTGCCACGCAGAGTGCCTGGTTTTGATTCCTGCTGGGGCACTGATATTTATTCTTTGCATTCATGTAGTCATCGCTGCCGATGCCTGCTTTTTTTTTTTCTTAACGCTCTCGCGTTAAAGTTACCTATGTGTGCTCACACCGTTTCTGGGTAGACATAAACCATCTATCACTTGTGGCACATATACTCGCATACCTTTGGAGCATACCCTCCCATGGTATACGGGTATGTGCCACACGTGTCTGGTGGAAAGAATTTGACCGCGTACGTGACGGGATTGTCACATTATTCATTATTCATGTCATAACCAACGAGTCATATTTGTTATACAATCTTACCCTACCTTACTGATTTTGTTTCACCGTTTATTTATTTATTTATTTATTTATTTACTTATTTATTTATTTAATAATACTGCCAATCCCGTCAGAGATTTTACCAGAAGTGGGTATATGTGTCTACAAATATTATCTATTCACACATTATAACTAATAATATAATATAACTCACACAATATAATTCACACAATATAACTAATGTGAAGATAGCATAATACGCAATAATACAATTGTAAAAAATATGATACAGATTTCGACAATGGGCCTTCGTTAATGGAGAATGCACATATTTCAGTCACATGTGCAGAATCTGAAGAAAAAAATAACAAGAGTAGAGAAAGGCAAGCACGCCAAGATACAAAATTGGAATGACTCTCACCACTTCGGGTCACAAAGATCAGTATACTCGGAAAGAGGACAGACAATGAACAGTACAGTCCTCATAGCGTCGCTATCTTGTAGTTGACATAACGGTGAGGCCAGAAAGCTCGACAAATTTGTTGACAGTGCACTGCAAAACCATCGTATCGGGTAAACCATTTCACTCTCGCACTGCCCGCGGAAAAAACCAAAACACTAAAGTATTATTGGCGCATAAGTATTCTTGAATTGTAAAATGATGCTTCTGACGAGTTTTTCTAAAAGTGTTGAAGGACATCTATGTGTTCGAATCTATTTTAAGTTTGTTCTGTGGGATGATGTACAGAAATTTGAGTCGGGATAGCATTGCACGAATATAGCTTGCGTGTGAAGGCCAATCTGTGTCAGTATTTGCGTAGGTGAGTCGTTGCACTTTGTAGTGTCTCGAAATGGCTAGCGCCATGCTCTTGGAGTGAAAAGACACAGTAGACACGGTCGGAACAAACCAAAGAACAACACACATACATTCATTTAACTAATTTAGAACGGCGATATCGTCGGCCGAACCATTATAACATAAATCGTGACCAACACGCTAAAATATCCTTACACAATATTACCATACACTCCAAAACTTGACAAACACATTAACACACTCAAGGCGGCGTCGCCAACGCTTGACTTACCGCGAGGGTTCCCGATGCGCAACCCGCGGTGCCACGCGCCGGGGACCCACGCTAGAAACAACCGTTCGCGGCAATTCCACGCGCACAAGAGACTCGCTCAACTCTCGCCCGCCACCAAGGCTTGCCTTCCACCAGGGGTCACCGCCGGCGCTACAACTCTAACAACCATGATGATGATGGTGGTGATTACCGCTCATGAATACAGCGCCAGCTACCACCCGGTGGTTGTAACCTGAAACTCGGCTTTTGGGCGAGATACGTGCACCACGCAGCACAAGCAACCTTACAGGGGGTTGTCAGAACCCCCACCGCCTATACATACCTGTTATTGTTAAGGAGACGATCACCATAGAGTTGCCTAAATATACACTAGAGGGAACTCTGGCGCTAGAGTTCATGGGAGCTGCGACGCATAGCGCTTCATCGAGCATGGAAATTAAGGGTATGAAATGGATTTGCCTATAGTCTTCGTACTTTACGTTCGGTCTGACTTCACGTGGGTTGAAGCTGTTTTCTCACAAAACAAAAATCGGCAAACGTTCAGTGCTTCCGCTCCACCACCTTATTCTTTTAGGCTTACCAATTCTAATCTGGTGACGAAGTGAAGAACAGTTTGTTCTTTTCTTCGAAACAAGATCAAAACCATGACCAAAGCACAACAATAAACAAAGCCACAAGTGCGTTCGCCACCCATAAGCACGAAGACAAGGCAAATTTATGTACCCATAATTCCCATGGTAACTGAACGATCGCAACGCCAGTGTCCCCTCTGCTTAATTTTAGGAAACTATATATATGTGGTGATCTTGTAGCGGCCGGAAATGTCGGCTGCCGGAGGCAGCGAGAAAGGAGACGTGAAGCAGGTTTGGAGTTGCCGGGCAAGACTGTTTATTTCCACTCCGTGCGAGTGACGAGAGCTCCCCTCGACGAGGGAGAGAATGAGGCACCCCCGCGTTCTTCTACAAGAAAGAGGAAAAGGGGGCCACCGAGCGAGCAGACGTAGCATGCCGCCGGTCTAATCCCCGGAGCCGGCCCCGACAACACGTTGTTCCCCGAACACGGAGGAGGAGGAGCTGGCGCCGCGAGTAGGCGCGCTGTCGACGGCCGGCTGCAGACGGGATAGAAAAGAATGCGGTGGTGCTTAGCAGCTTCCGCTACAAAGGCTCCCCCCCTAGATTGCGGAGCTTTTAAAGAAGGACAGCAGTTACGGGCTGAATAGTGAAAGGTCACAGTCCAATGGTTAGCACTGAAATCGTACGTGAGAGGCTGCTTGAATGGAAACTTCAATATGAGCAGGCTTGGCGCGGTCAACGGCGACGACTTCTCGTTTCCCCCGCACGTCGATTGCGATGGTTTTGTTAGTACGTCCCAAAACTTTGAATGGGCCATCGTACGGCGGAGTAAGGGGCGGCTTCGTTGCGTCGTGTCGCACGAACACATGGGTAGCAGAGTCCATGTCAGGAAAAGTGAAAACTTTCCTGTTGCGGGCGATGCGAGGTGCTGTTGGCCTGAGTTGCGCGAGCCATGCGCGCAGCTTCTCGATGTGATCGGAGGCTGTTGGGGCGGAAGGTGTCTGGTCGGAGAAGAATTCTCCCGGGAGGCGCACTGTTGAGCCGTAGACCATTTCCGCTGCGCTGAAGCCGAGGTCTTCCTTCACCGTTGAGCGTAGGCCAAGAAGAACGAGCGGGAGCTTCTGCACCCAGTGCTGGCGGTCGAGTTTCGCTGCCAGTGCGGCTTTGAGTTGCCGGTGGAAGCGCTCAACCATTCCGTTGCTGGCGGGGTGGTAGGCGGTTGTATGCTGCAGCTTCGTGCCGAGGAGCGTTGAAAGTGCGGAAAAGAGGTTGCTCTGGAATTGCCGTCCCCGGTCAGTTGTTATGCGGGCGGGGCAGCCAAAGCGGGACACCCATGTTTGAATGAAGGCCTGCGCGACGGTCTCAGCTGATATGTCCGCAATTGGTATAGCTTCGGGCCACCGGCTGTACCTGTCGATGCATGTGAGCAGGTACCTAAATCCTTGGCAGGGCGGTAGTGGTCCCACGAGGTCAAGGTGAACGTGGTCAAACCGCGACTCAGGAGTCCGAAATTCCTGTAGTGCAGCCCGATTGTGGCGAGTCACTTTCACTTGCTGACACGTTTCACATGTCCGAGCCCATCGTCGCACGTCCGCGTTGACTCCGGGCCAAACGAAGCGTTGCGTTATCAGCCGCTGGGTGGCACGGACACCTGGGTGGCTGATGGAGTGGAAAGTGTTGAATACCACTCGGCGAAAGTTCAGTGGGACAAAAGGTCGTGGTGCTGCCTGGGAGGTATCGCAGGTTATCGTGCTCTGGACGTAGGGAAGTGCAACCTCCGAGAGCACGAGTGAAGATCCCCCTCCCTTCAGTCTTGTCAACTCGGGGTCGTCCCGCTGAGCTGCGGCCATAGCTTCGAAGTCCAGGACTTCTGTGCTGGAAGCATTGACGCGAGACAAGGCGTCAGCTGCTTCGTTTTCGACCCCGGGAACGTGGCGGATGTCTGTAGAAAACTCGGAGATGAATGAGAGCTGACGGATCTCTCGTTCTGAGTAGGAGGAACTGTTGTTTTTGAATACGTAGGTGAGGGGCTTGTGGTCTGTCAAGATGTAGAACTCACGGCCTTCGAGGAAGTAGCGGAAATGCTTAATGGAACAATATATTGCGAGCATCTCCCTTCCAAAAGTGCTGTACCGTGCTTCTGCAGGCTTCAGACGTTTCGAAAAGAAGCCCAGTGGCTTCCACTGGGCGCCCTCCTGTTGCTGCAGCACTGCTCCGACCGATGTGGAGGAAGCGTCCACCATGAGGCGTGTAGGAGCTTCAGGCCGTGGATGAATGAGAAGGGTAGCCGCGGCTAGCTCGTCCTTAGCTTTCTGGAAAGCGTTCTGGTGTTCGTCAGACCAACAAAATTCTGGTGCCTTTTGGTCGTCTCGGCGCAGCAGGTCGGTCAATGGCTGGAGCACTCGAGCACAAGACGGAATGAAGCGCCGGTGGAAGTTTAAGAGCCCGAGGAACTCCCTCAGCTTGCGAAAAGATGTTGGAGCTGGAAACTTCTTGACGGATTCCACCCTCGATTCCAATGGCATAATGCCTTCAGCAGTGATGTGGTGGCCGAGGAAGTTGAGCGCCTCTACTCCAAACACGCACTTTTGAGGTTTCAACACCAGACCGTGCTCATCCAAACGCTGAAAGAGCTGGCGGAGGTGCTCTTCGTGCTCCGCAGGCGTTCTGCTGGCCACCAAAATGTCATCCAGGTAGACAAAGATGAAAGGAAGACCCCGGGTGACCTCATCCATGAACCTTTGAAAGGTCTGTGCGGCATTTTTCAAGCCGTAGGGCATGCGGACAAACTCAAACAGGCCGAACGGAGTTGTTATGGCTGTTTTTGGTATGTCCTGCGGTTCGACGGGGATTTGGTGGTATGCCGCTACAAGGTCGATCTTGCTGTATATTTTCGTACCTGCCAGCCGCGCGCTGAAATCGTGAATGTGTGGCAGAGGATACTGGTCCGGCGTTGTCGATGCGTTCAAGGCTCTGTAATCACCACACGGGCGCCAATCGTCGTCCTTAGGCACCATGTGTAGCGGCGATGAATGGTTGCTAGACGAAGGGCGAACAATTCCCAGCTGCAGCATATGCTCGAACTCCCTGCGTGCAGCTTGAAGCCTTTTGCTGGACAGCCGTCGTGGCCGGGCGGTGACTGGCGGCCCGGTGGTGACGATGTGGTGAGTCACGTTATGTTTCACCGGCTGTTCCGTGTTGCGGGGCTTGGTGAGCGAGGGGAATTCGGCCAGGACGTGGTGGTAGGCTGATACTGGCTGGAAGGCGCAGATGCCAGATGAGCAGATGTTTGACTCCAAACCACGTACTTTGAGGGATGTGTTGTTATCCTTGAGGCAACGGTCACGTACGCTCACATCCAGGTTGAAGTGGCTGAGAAAATCTGCTCCGAGTATGGCGAAATTAACATCCGCCACCACGAAGACCCAGCGAAACAGGCGCCTGAGTCCGACGTCTATTGTCAGCGAGCGGAAGCCGTACGTAGCGATGGCAGTGTTGTTCACTGCCTGCAGCGACGATGTGTTCTTGCTACGTCGGCGATCCTCGGGGGTTGCCGGGACAATAGAGATTTCGGCTCCCGTGTCGACTAGCAGGCGCGAGTTGCTTACGCGGTCGACTACGAAAAACAGGCGGCTGGGTGGAGGGCCGATGTCGTAAGCCGCCGTTAACGACTGGCCGGAGCGTTTCCCGGAAACGAGCAAGGTTGAGTGCAGCGGCTAGCACCCGTGCCGAAACGACGGTGGTACCAGCAAACTCCGTCCTGTGTATCTCGTGCATGGCTTCTCTGGGAAGAGCTTGGGTGTCTTGAAGGAGATCGGTTGCGTCGTTGCTCGTCCTGTTGGGGAGCGCCAGATAGCACAAGTTTCTGCATGGTCTCGGTAAGGTGTTGCAGTTTCTCCTCAAGGCGCGACAGTCGATCTGGTTGCTCATGTGTTCTTGCAGCAGCTATGGGCGCAAAGGTTGGAGTTGAGTATTCCGTGATGCGATCGGCAAGTTGCGCTAGTCGATCAAGGGACGTCTCATTTGAACCCGCGAGAACCACGCGCACCGACTGGGGGAGCCGTTGCAGGAAAAGTTCACGAAGAAGTGGGAGCTGGCCGTCCTGACGCGCGTGCACACCGAGTAGTTGCCGCATACGGTGCAGCAGTTGGGAAGGTCGTTGGTCGCCCAGCTCTTCGCGACACAAGAGCTGCTGCAGTCTGCTTTCTTCAGGCGCCTCGAGGCGGTCCAGCACCGTCTTTTTGAGGGTGTCATATTCTTCTTGCGCGGGGGGTGAAACCAAAATGTCGTCGATAGCGTCGGCGATTTCGGGGGGCAGGGCTGCGACGACGTGAAGGTATTTTGTCGACTGCGAGGTGATGTGCCGGAGTTGAAAACGGGCCTCCACTTGGCTGAACCAAACTCTTGGATTTTTCGGCCAAAAATTTGGTAGCTTCAGTTCTGTGGCGATGACCGCAGGCGTGGAGGCAGCAGCGTTGTCGTCGGAGCTCATCGCGGCGTGTTCGTTGAAGCGTTCGGGTCACCAATTTTGTAGCGGCCGGAAATGTCGGCTGCCGGAGGCAGCGAGAAAGGAGACGTGAAGCAGGTTTGGAGTTGCAGGGCAAGACTGTTTATTTCCACTCCGTGCGAGTGACGAGAGCTCCCCTCGACGAGGGAGAGAATGAGGCACCCCCGCGTTCTTCTACAAGAAAGAGGAAAAGGGGGCCACCGAGCGAGCAGGCGTAGCATGCCGCCGGTCTAATCCCCGGAGCCGGCCCCGACAACACGTTGTTCCCCGAACACGGAGGAGGAGGAGCTGGCGCCGCGAGTAGGCGCGCTGTCGACGGCCGGCTGCAGACGGGATAGAAAAGAATGCGGTGGTGCTTAGCAGCTTCCGCTACAATCTCGAGAGTACCCACACATACGTGGCTACACAGACAGACAGACAGACAGACAGACAGACAGACAGACAGACAGACAGACAGACAGACAGACAGACAGACAGACAGACAGATAGATAGATAGATAGATAGATAGATAGATAGATAGATAGATAGATAGATAGATAGATAGATAGATAGATAGATAGACAGACAGACAGACAGACAGACAGACAGACAGACAGACAGACAGACAGACAGACAGACAGACAGATAGATAGATAGATAGATAGATAGATAGATAGATAGATAGATAGATAGATAGATAGATATATTGATTGATTGATTGATTGATTGATTGTCTCAACCTCTCGTTCAAAGTGTTGTCGTCGGCGTCGTTTACGCAGCACAAGAAGACGGGTGACGAGGACGTCCCCGACGGCTACATCCCGGTTCCGGGTTCCGAGCGGGTGGTGTGCGAGAAGACCGAGTCACACCAGGTCACCAAGGAGACCAAGGAGGAGAACATGAAGATGCACGACGAGAACTTCAAGGAACTCAGAGGACCGGTATGCTTAGAGACTATTTTCTTTAAGACATCTGGGCTCCGTCATCTTTGGCAGTTAAGCCGATGTTTTCGTGTTTTTGTATATCGCAAGGTCAATCAATGGGGCAATGAAACGTCGTATGCGTCAACCCAATCGTTTCCGTGAATATGCGTCTACCGTAGCACCATTCGTTTAGTTAAAGATGCAAGACATCAAGGTTAACGGCCGAGTATGGCGGCATTTAAGTGCATCCGCAAAATGTTCCATAGATTAACCAGCCTTCGCTTCTCCTTCCTCATATTTACTACCACCACATCCTCGTCATTGCGAAAAGCAGAGTTAATTGCTGCCGCCTGCCTGCGAAAAGTGTACAAAGCTCAACTTATATCACTCTGAAACCCTCAAAGAAATGTTTCCTCGCTTACCAAACTCCGCTGTTCGCTAAAACTTAGAAGAATAACGTTTTGCATACCAAAACTACGACACGATTACAAGGCACACTGTAGTATAGGGCTCCGGAAATATCGATCATCTGGTGTACTTAAGCGTCCGCTGATCTCGCACAGTACACGGGACTCAAGTGTTCCGCCTCCGCTGAAATGTGACCGCCGCGGTCAGATTCGAAACCACGACCCTGGCGTCAGCAACAGAGCATCGCAACCACTTCACCGCGGTAGATCGAATTTCGATGATCTTCGTGGTATTGGCCGTTGGATGTAAATCCGCCTATTTATTTAGATATTTGCGTTATTCACTTTGATATATTTATTCATTTGTTTATATATTTGCATATTGAAATTCCCAAGCAGGAGAGCTCTGGAGAGTGGAGTTGTGACAAGGAATTCTTTTTAAACCTGCTTGAGCAGTAACTGACATGTCTAGTTTATTGGCGCAAATACCTTTTCTTGTCAAACTGTGCCTTATGGCAACGGCAAGGATTACTAATACCTGTAAACAAATAAATCCCGGTAAGCCATATGTTCAGGAGAGTATGGAAGCATATTGACTGTTGGTAATGGACGAGGAAATGAGAACGAGTTGGTGCTATGAGATGTGGTAATATGTTTTGTGGAACATGGCGTCATATACTTGCTTAGATTTAGAGGGATGGCAAGATACATGCGTTTTTTAGGGGCGAAGCTCCTTAGGGAGTGGTGTGTCACTCCTCCGTATGTATGTATGTATGTATGTATGTATGTATGTATGTATGTATGTATGTATGTATGTATGTATGTATGTATGTATGTATGTATGTATGTATGTATGTATGTATGTATGTATGTACGTAGCTACTGGTAGCCGATACCCGCTCTAGAGCGGGTATGTGCCACAGGCGATGCGAGATGGCGGTACTTGGAGTGTTCACTAGATGGATCGACAGACAGACTAGCGGACGGATGGACAGACGCGTGGACGCACGAACGGACGGACAGACGGACGAATGGACTCACGGGCGGACGCATGGATGGACGCATGGATGGTCGCACGGACGCACGGAAGCACGGACGGGCTGACAGACGCTTCGCCCCACTCATCATCATTCACTCCGTGGACATGCTGCGATTTGTTCTACTTTTTATACGTCTTTGTTTTAGTTTATCGGGTAGGTATCTGCTGCCCGAACGGTATCAACACAGATCTGTATCTTCACTTGCCGGCCGCTTACTGTAGGTGCCGAGAGGATGTGACGCACATTTATGTTAACGCTATCCCGGCATCTGCTAGCTTCCTGATCAACAGATCAACAGACCCTCCATGCAATTTGCTTATCAATAACCAAGCCACTTCAGCGTACTTTCTGGGTTTAGCCAACACCCTCCCAAAATTCTTCGGGCATTTTCACATCCTCCTTTCCCCGCGTGCTACGTCCCGCCAACAGTCCGTGCTTGCCCAGGCAATTCAGTGCGTGTGCGCCAAGCTGCTGCACTATTTGTGTTCTTCGTGTTCGCGGGACCATTCTTTTTTCGGCGTACACGTGTTAATGCACGATGCAACGTTTTTTCACGAATTGCATAGCATAGCAACGACTGGAAGTTCGTGCAGCATGGACCGGAGTTGTGTTCCTGGGTGCCGCGGAAACTGTGACTGAGGGCCAAAAGTGCACGCGTATTCATTCCCAAGGTATATGACGCGCCGACAGAGCGTGGCTTCGAGCTACCCCATGGATTGATTGACTGATATGTGGGGTTTAACGTCCCAAAACCACCATATGATTATGAGAGACGCCGTAGTGGAGGGCTCCGGAAATTTAGACCACCTGGGGTTCTTTAACGTGCACCCAAATCTGAGCACACGGGCCTACATTTCCGCCTCCATCGGAAATGCAGCCGCCGCAGCCAAGATTCGATCCCGCGACCTGCTGGTCAGCGGCCGAGTACCTTAGGCACTAGACCACCGTGGCGGGGCGAGCTATCCCACTGAAGGATTTCACGCCAACAGTGCACTCGAAGGTAAGGAATAGTAACACTGCTTTAGCGGGCGTGTGAATCTTCTTTCTTAGCTGCAACAGCGGTAATTGTCGAAAGGGAATACTCTTTTCCTACATAATAAGAATACTTCAACACAAAGGTGAACAAGCATCCATTTCTCGTAAATATTCATTGAGCAGCACGGTCCATTTGTAAATGAACAGTGCTAAGAAGGATACCTTTCTTACAGTATAGTTTAATTAAGTTCCATCTTGCTCTTACTGTCATAAACTACACCTGGTTTGGTATCGGTGTTCTGTTTTCTGCATGTCGATGTGTGCAACCATTCTCCGATGCCAAACGTGTTACGTTGGAAGTTAATGCGATAATCAAAATGGTATTCTCATGGTGCGATGCAACAACTAAAACATAAGTCGTCAAAAACTAAAATGTAATTTCCTTTCATTGCAGTTTCAGAAACCCGCTTCCAAAGGTGTTTTCTTTTTTCTTTTCTTGCTTTCTTTATTTTTTTATGAATAATCGTAGGCGCAGTATTTGCCCGGCCCATGGATCTCAAAAAAAAAAAAATCGGCAGATCCCACGTACCTGGGAATCCGTGTTATGCGAAGCATGCGGAACAAAGGTGACCATGTTGCAATTTTTATTGAGCAACACGTCATGAAAGGACGCTAAATTAATGTGCAGATGTCGCACACACAGACATATGTTGAAGAGTTGCAGATGTTTATATAACCAGTTGTTTGCATTATTTTTGCGCAACGATGCAACTGGAACATGCGTATTAGTAACACCAGAAGCTGATATCAAGCTCTATGCTCGCGAAGATGCTTGCCCTGGACACTGCTATATAAATCAACTTCAGCGCATGGCAATTAACCACATCTGACGTTAACCCGACGTGACGGCTGTATGAAAATAGTACATATATATATGTTCATAAGATTGGGTAGGCAGCACTAAAACCACTATTAACGTTTCACGAAGATTATCGTCTATTTTAAAAGTAGTTACGAGACTTGGCGTAGCTCTGTGGCAAAATGCTCCATTGGCACCCAGAATGTTTGGGTTAGATTCCAGCTGGGACTCGTCAGGTCGACACTACCGACGTCGAGTATTTCCTAACACTCGGCGTTAAAAATGTCCATGCGTGTTCTCGTCGTTCCTGAGCATATACCAAGTGTGAATCACCTGTGGCACATACCCGCAAACCAGCGGCACATACCCGCCCGTGGGTATGTGCCTCTTCCTGGCGGGAAGTGATTGACGACGTACACGACGGGATTGTGACATTATTCGTGTCTTGAAAAGCGCGTCGTATTCGTCAAACCATGGAGCTTACCATCTCATGCTAATTTTGGTTCATGCCAAGTAGATGAGGTGACCACGAGAGCACCCAAATGTAAGCGGCTAGATAGATAGATAGATACCTTCCGAGTCGCTGAAGTTCGCTAAGAAATGCTTCGCATTAAAAAAAAAATGACAGTATATCCACAGGGCGAATGATGGCGAGTGGAGCGAAGCTGGTTCCGCACGCTTCTGCCTCACGCGCCCGCACATCGGCGTTCCGTTTGCAAGCGCGAGCAGCCGTTGCATTGCGCGAGTGAAACTTTTTATCGGCAAACCGCGAATCATCTGTTGGCCACGTCCGTCCGTCATCTGTCTGTCTGCCTGTTTGACGCACAGATGGACGGACGAACGCCGGGACAGACGCATGTACGCACGGGTGAACGCCCGAGAGGACGGATGGATGGACGAGTGAACGCACGCATGGCTGCATGGATGGACGCACGAGAGGGCGGACGGACGAATTGACGGAAGCAAAAACGAACAGACGGACGGAAGCGCGGACGGACTGATGGACGCTTCGCCCCACTCATCATCATTCACTGCATGAATATACTGTGATTTTTGTTATTTATCATACTACAGGGAACGTCCTCAAGTATCGTACCATTCGCATTTTTCAGCGTATATTCATTTCGTTATATGTACAAGTACCACCCTCTGTGGCCGGTTTAAAAACTAACGAGAGGTGAATACATACGATTACGATGGGACGCTCAGCCCAAACTTCATAGTGCCGCGTAAGAAAAAAAAAAAGGTTGCGACTGATTGCTACGTTACTCGTACATCTGTGGCGGTATTTGTTTTTATTTCTTTTTTTTGAATGACTTCGTACGTATACCACAGTTAACTACTTATGAAGGAACAGCTATTCGCAGGTTATATCTACGCGTAGTGTGTTTCATATGTAGCCGATTTACAAGAGCCGCCTTCTTTTAAGTGTGAATACACTTTATAAGCGACCCCAAACCATCCACCGCCGTCGGCGGCGTCCGCAGTCTTCTCTCTATCTTTAAAAGAAAGAGGACTTGGCGGGCCGCAGCGCGACGCTCTACCGAATAAGGCACGGACGCGACGCTGATATCGGTGTCAATAACGCGCCTTAAACTCCTCCCCCTTCGCTCGCTCCTCCGCTCTCCTCGCTCGCTGCAGCTGCGCGCGCACCCCTCTCTCTCGCGTGCCCGCCTTCTCTCTCAGTCTCCCGTCGAGAGCGGGTCGTGAGGGGGAGTAAAGTTAAAATCCGTTGGC